CAGCCAACTTAGCCAACCTCCCATGCGTGACCTAACCTAACGTATGGCATCGATGTAAACAGCGGTACACAACCTCTGAGCTACAATTTGTTCCAAATGGATGAAAGCAACGGTATGTTGTGCTTAAAGATATTGCGTTAGGTTATGTTCTGCAATTTAAATCGCATCAATGTCTGGTGATGTGTAAATTGAATGAGAAATTGTATTTCATATTTTCTCATACTGTTGACCAGAAGACCGCGCAGGCGGGCAACACTCTAGACGCGTTTTGAGCTCTTGAGTCGCTAAACAGAACTCGAACCGAGCGTGTCACCCTCGGTGTGACCCCACCAATGAATCCCTCGTTCGGAGGGCAATCCGTTGGTGAGGTCACACGTTCTAGTGCCATTTAGCGACTCCAGAGCTCAAAACGCGTCTAGAATTTTGGCCGCTGGTGCCGGTCCTCTGGCCCACCGCGCGCCGCCGCTACGCTTGCCGCGAGCCTCGAGCGCCTGCCGCGTAGGCAGGCCCGTACGACACGCCTGCGCTGGACTGGGGTGGCTGCCTAATAGGGGTGGTCGAATGTACACTTTTTTCGAAATCTCAAAAGTTAGATGGCGCATTTTGTAGTATTTTTAGGGGTTCCCAAGAACCCCTATTGTCCGAGGTCCGCGGATTCTTCCCCCCCCCCCCTCTCCGATTTTCAAAAAAACAACGCTAAACTATTTCAACCATGAAAAAAACGAAAATTCCAATTTTTTTCGAAAATTCATCGTGGGAATTTTCCGTAAACTAGAAAAACATAAATTTGCAACAATCGAAAACGAGAACCGTTAATGATATGAAAAAATGGTTCAAATAAAAAATGTGCCACTCCTCAAAACTAAACCTCCTGGCTCATCAAAGTAACAAGAAATCGCCTGTGTTCTGAGCAAATGGTTAAAACATGAAAAAAAAAATCTCCATGGCAACGCCATGGTCCCATCGTGCCACCCGTCAAAAATTTTAAAATTTTGCCGATAAAAAAAAATCAAAACGCCGTGAAATTCGAAAATGCTAATGCCAACGCATTGCACGGTGTCCCGACGTTGGAACATCTTTAAAGTCTGTCACTAGTAAAAAGTTCGTAGCAGAAATGACGCATCAAATTAATTTTCGTGGGTTGGCACCGATTTTCTTGCCGTCTGCGCCCTTTCGAAAATCGCGAGGCTGAAAAAACGAGTTGGCGCGCATTGAAACTGCCCCTCCATTGTTGCTGAGGTTGGATTGTTTGGCATGCTTTTAAAGGTTGCGGTTGTCCTGTCATGTTTTCCTCAATTCTGTAGAACAGTTCTTACTCACTACGTAAAAGCAGCAAGATGGTTGCTTTTACAAACTCGGGAGGGGTGATTTCGGAACGCGGGTGACTTTCGTTTGGCGAACATGAGCACTGTAAGACGCGAGATGGAGTGAGGTGGTCATGGTGTTAACTGAATCAGGTTTGACCAGAACCCCTTTTTCTTTTGGGTTTAGTTTAAATTTAAGCGCATGCGCACTTTAAAATTTTTTGGATTTTCTCATAATCATTGAACAGTTGGCACTGCCACGGTCCAATACATGGCTATTTCAAAATAACCAAATGTGAAAATGGGAACACCGTGCAATGCGATTAGCATTGGAATTTTTTCTGCTGATTCCGAATATGTACTTGGTTTTGAGAAAGGAGTAAAACTGAGGGCGCTACCAGCCATTTATGTTTTGAAAAATTGCTTAAAATGCGAATTTTTAAAATTTTACATTTTGTCCGTTTGAATATCACAGTACATTTCGGAATCGGCAGAGAGAATGCAACAAAATGCGCCATCTAATTTTTGCATAATTTTTGCAAAATGGACATTTTGAGAAAAGTACGCTCTTAAGGGGTGGTCAAAAACACTATTTTCGTCAAAATATCCATTTTGCAAAAATTATGCAAAAGTTAGATGGCGCATTTTGTTGCATTCTCTCCGCCGTTTCCCAAAAATGTACTGTGATTTTCAAACGGACAAAAAGTAAAATTTTAAAATTCGCATTTTAAGAAATTTTTTCAAAATTTAAAAGGCTGGTAGCGCCCTCAGTTTTACTCCTTTCTCAAACCAAGTACATTTCGGAATCAGCAGAAAAAATACTACAAAATGCGCCATCTAACTTTTGAGATTTCGAAAAAAGTGTACATTCGACCACCCCTACTGCCTAACGGCCAGGCGTTCGAGTTGCTGAAAAGCGTGCACAGCGTGAAAATGAGAGTTAAAGTTAGCTGAAGTGGGTTTGTTTCAAGTAAATAATGACGAAAGGAGGATAAGAACACATTTCTGACACATCGGCCCCATCAAAACTGCATTTAAGAAAAAATAAGAAAAAATTCGAAAAATTAGTTAAATTTGTGAAATTTGTCAACTTTGGCGCCCTATAGCGCCTAAACGGCTTGTCCAAACTCATTTTGCGGACCGGCAATCGAAAGATCGCATTTTTTTTCTATGCCCAGGCCCCATTTGGGTACTTTTTTGGGCTTGGTTTGGCAAACCCCTAGTCCCAAAACGTCGAAAATGGCCATTTTGGGGTTTTTGACCCCTCCCAAAATCCAGAGGGGGGGTCGGATTTCGTCCAAATGTCTTTTCGGCAGTTCGTATGCATACAAGGAACCGATAAAACACCAAAGGTGCCCGGTCCTATGATGTCGCCGACCAAGTGGTTTTTTTTGTCTGGAGCTTCTCATTGCTACACTGTAAACCAGGCGCGGATCCAAGGGGGGGGCGATGGGGGCGTCGCCCCCCCCTGAAGGCAGCGAAGCCGCCTGAAAGGTAGGCAAAAAGTCGCACATAACCCCTTAAGGTAGGCAACTTTCACGACGTCGCCCCCCCCCTGAACCCGTCCCTGGATCCGCCCTTGCTGTAAACGCGAGGGGGTAAACACTGCGAGAAATCGTGTACAGAGCACTCGGCATTACGCTGTATTACGGGGATATCACACGTGTATTACGGCATTAAAATGCCAAAATTTGGCCCATTTTGCCCAAAAAATGGTATTACGCGTAATGCACGGCTTTTGTGCACAGGGTATTACACAAGTGTTTGCCCCCTCGTGTAAACGTCTTACGGTGAAAGGCTGCACCAACACAATATGGTGGAGATTTTCTCCATAATACCAACGAAATTCGTCAAAATATCTAAAAGGTACAGTGAATTCTCAATGGTATGTGACGAAGTCAGCTGCACCACCATTATGAAACATTTTCACCATAATTTGGAGAATCTTCACTGTACAACATTTAGAGTGCAGGCTCACCCCGCGCTTAAAACCTCATGAAGTAGTTTGAGCATACATAATACAAACTAATTAACTTCGTCACACGAAGAAATGGTTCGTAAATTACGCCACCAATGGATTGCTCTCCGAATCCAGTGATGGGGCCACACTCTAAATGTTCTACAGTGAAGATTCTCCATATTATGGTGGTGCAGCTGACTTCAAAACATACCAATGAGAATTCACTGTACCTTATAGACATTTTGACGAATTTCGTTGGTACTATGGAGAAAATCTCCACCATCATAGGTATGTTGGTGCAGCCTTTCACCCTAAGACATATACAGTGCACACGTTCTGTTCGAGTCCTGTTCAGCGACTTTGGAGCTCAAAACGCGTCCAGAGTTTTGGCCGCCTCCCCCAGTCTTCTGGCCCACTGTGCGTCCGTGCCGTTACCTGCGTGGTGTTGGCGATGCGCGTGGCCGCGTTGACGCCCCTGTCGAGTCCCCGCTGCGCCAAGTCGACGCCGAGGCTGGCCCCGCGCGGCAACACGTTGCCCGGCAACTGGCTGGCCACGCTGCGCGTCTGGTAGAGCACCTCGGTGCCGAAGGTGCGGCCGGTGTTCAAGGCCGCACGCACGGCATTCGATTCGACCGCCTCCAGCGCCTGATGAAGCGCCAATGCTTTTATCGCGTACACACTAAGTGTTTTTGTACAAATTTCGAAATTTCGTACGGGGCATATGTGCACATGAACTTTTTGTACAAATAGTGCACATGAACTTTTTGTACAAATTTTTACAAAATTTTGTACAAATTTGTACAAAATTTTGTACAATTTTGTACAAAAATGGCGGAAAATGTGCAGTTTTCCGTACGAAAATTGTACGAAAATTCCGTGTGCACCAAAAACTGTGATGTCTCGTACAAAATTGTACATAACACTTAGTGTGTACAGTGAGATGCGTTTTGACGTGCACGACCCCCAAACGCGAGAGGTGCACTCACTGTAAATATTGTGTTGTGAATTGACGACGGAAAGTTTTCCGAAGGTTTTTGGGAATGTCCATACGTGCGTGCACTGTGTTTCGTTCTTACGATGACTTTTTGTAGATCAACGGAAGTTCTTTGTGAATCAACGATAGTTCAAAACAGAAGTGAGAACGTCTGCGCATGCGCAGACGTCCCCCTGCTTTTAGAGTAAGCGTCTGCGCAGAAGCATGCAGTTGCGGTTTGTGCCTGTTCTGTGACAGGGTTCACACCAGATGCCCTTGTTCGTTTTCCCTGACTTTTCCCTGATATCCAGTGTAAAAAATTACCTATTTTCCCTGACTTTATTTTTAAAATTTATGTGCAGCTCCAGAGTCAAGTGCATGCAGCTTCCACACGTACGGCGTTTAAAATGCATACTTTGACGAACACTCTAAATGTTCCATATTATGGTGGTGCAGCTGACTTCGTAACATACCATTGAGAATCCACTGTACCTTATAGATATTTTGATGAATTTCGATGGTATTATGGAGAAAATCTCCACCATAATATGTTGGTCCAGCCTTTCACCGTAAGACATTTACTGTGAACTTTTCAAATTTTCCCTGATCAAATCGAATCCAGTGACCTCCAGTGACCATTTTATTTTCCCTGACTCTTCCATGACTTCCCTGACCGGTGTGAACCCTGTGTGACTTCCGGTCCAGGGATTCCTGGAAGCCCGTCATTGCTGCTAAAATCTGAAAATAAAGGGGAGGCGGTCACCTCAGCGGCGTCCAGGACCACGTTGACTCCACTGCTGCCCGCCCTGACCGCGGCGTTGCCGATGCCCTGAGCGGCGCCGACGCCCGTTTGGGCCGCCTGGACGAGACCCCGGGCAGCACTCACGATGAACGGGGTCGGAGAGGCGCTGCCAGCCTGAGACAACGTTTCGGGACACTTCAGGGGGAGGTTCCACAGAGAAACCAGGGATCCTTAACTTAACATTTAACTAACACTGCTTTCATAACGTAACATAGGACAATGTTCGCTAAAGGTTAAGGGTACGGACTTATGAAAGTACTTGCAAAAGTATATCCAAACAAATTCGAGACATAAAAAAATAACCTACCCTTTTGAAAAGATGTTAGAAGTTTTAACTCTTATGATAACGTTATGATGCCCTTATGAGGTAAGTTAAGGATCCCTGAGAGAAACTTTACTTTCTTTAAACTAGCTCCTCTACAAACTCAAGTGTCGACATAGTACACTCCACCTGGAGTCAACTTGGCATGTACACTCCACGCTGGAGCATGCTTGCCAAGTACACCAGGTGGCGTTTACCTGCAAGTACACTGTTGGTCTGCTTTACGTGCAAAGGGTAGGGGACTTCAGCAACAGTGTACATGCCAGGTTGACGCCAGGTGGAGTGTACATGCCAGGTTGACTCAAAACTCCACTGTCACTTAACAGGACTCATACCAAGTGTGTGGCCCCACCAGTGGATTCCTCGTTCGGCGAGCAATCCATTGGTGGGGTTACACGTTCGGTTCGAGTCCCATTCAGCGACTCTGGAGCTCAAAACGCGTCTGAAGTTTTGGCCGCCTCTGCCGGTCTTCAAGCTCATCGTGCGCACTCGGACCTCGGTCTCACCTGGATCACACAGAGAGCGAAGGCGGAGTACACCCACAGAGCCATGGTGTCAAGACAGCTGGCACGATGGCTGTGTGGCTGACTGGGGTGACACTTCATGTGAGTCTCGCATACTGCAAGACGCGTCGCGTCCCCCAAACTAGCCCAGTCGACTGATTCCGAGGGCCGCCTTCGTCGCTCTGTCTCTCTCGCACCTGTACGGGACGCCCCACGAGTGCGAGAGAGACAGATCGGCGAAGGCGGCCCTCGGAATCAGTCGGCAGAGCAAACAGTGTCCGTGCTGTTGACGCAAGTGGTGAACACGTCGCAATGTGGCCATCGCACCCCAGAACACTGCCAATCAAAACGAAGAGAACCTCGCACGCACGAGCTGACACTGATTTCGGCTCCGTCACGAATCCCGAGTGGTGGTGGTGATATAATGGAGACTTTGTGTTCCCACGGCAGTAAAACCTTCAACTTCTAGTGCCTCAACGGCAAACTTACAACACTCGTGTAAATCTTGTCAGAATGTCAGAATCGTGTCTGAAAACATGTTCTGACCTTTGATCCTGCCTCCATTTTGGAACATGCCTTCATTAATTACTTGTTGCAATTTTATTTGTCGCAATTGAACATGTTTCTTTGTAAATAAAAGCTAAATCGTTTTTTAACAGTAATGTTCCTGACTCATTTATTTGACAAATATGCAACCGTAAGGACGGATCCATCCACGTTCTTACCCCATTTTATTGGGTATCTCCCTCCCCCCGCACAATCGGCCAGAAAACCGGTGCAAGCTTTCAAAATCCCGGACGCGTTTTGAGCTCTTAAGTCGCTAAATGGGACTGGAACAGAACGGGTGACCCCACCGATGGATTGCTCTCCGAACGAGGATTCCATTGGTGGGCTCACACGCTCGGTTCGAGTCCTGTTCAGCGATTCTGCAGCTCATGACGCGTCCAGAGTTTTGGCCGCCGCGCCGGTGTTCTGGCCCACTAGTACCTTTTTCCCTACAAGAGTCGTTTTCGAAGTACTTTAACGTTTCTATTTGACAGGACCAATTAAAGCGACAAGAAGAGCAGCAAGAGAGTCAAGAGCAGCTTCGGCGAGAGCAGCTTCAGCAAGAGCAGCTTCGGCAAAAGCAGCTTCAGAAAGAGCAGCTTCAGCGAGAGCAGCTTCAGAAAGAGCAGCTTCGGCGAGAGCAGCTTCGGCGAGAGCAGCTTCAGCAAGAGCAGCTTCAGCAACAGCAGCTTCAGCAAGAGCAGCTTCAGCAAGAGCAGCTTCAGCGAGAGCAGCTTCAGCAAGAGCAGCTTGAGCAAGAGCAGCTTCAGCAAGAGCAGCTACGGCGAGAGCAGCTTGAGCAAGAGCAGCTTCAGCGAGAGCAGCTTCGGCGAGAGCAGCTTCAGCAACAGCAGCTTCAGCAACAGCAGCTTCAGCAAGAGCAGCTTGAGCAATTCATGCGGTGGGCGCCACGAGAATGTCCCGTGATCGAATCCCAGGCGGTTCATCTTTTCCATCATTCAGTTTTCAGATCCGTTACCATCACTCTAAGATTGGGTGGATCCACCAACAGTGTCTCGGTGGCTCAGACGGTAGAGGCGGTGGCCACCACCACTCGGTCCTGGGTTCGAATCCCAGCCGCAACAACGTTTTGCACACGCACTGAACGGCGCCGTGAGGGTAGGCCACCCGTCTGCCACGTCACCCCGCCCTGATGAAAAATAAAGAGGCATGCTGGCTATAAGAAAAGCAAACTCGCGTTTTTCCCCTCCTGAAGGGCAAAAGAGTTCCCCTCATGGGGCCCCACCCCCCCTCCCCCCCCCCTCCCCGAAGGGAGGGTGGAGTAGAGGATCATAAAGGGTTTGTGGAAATTCAGTCCCGGGAATACTCCCAGACGAACCGACCTGGTGGCGAACCAGGGCCTCAGAGAACTATCGTGCCGCCGCCCTGCCCACTATGCTACGGCGACACTTACCGTACGGACACGCCCAATCTTAGAGTGATGGTACCGGATCTGAGAGGTAAATGCAGGAAAATATTCAGTCTTCCCGAAATTAGAACCCTAGGATTTCTCGTGGAAGCCACAGTCTCTGCCATCCGAGCCACTGAGACACCGGTTATGTATCCGCCCAATCTTAGAGCGATGGTAACGGATCTGAGAACTGAATTCGGGAAAAGATGAACCCACCTGCGATTCGAACCCACAACCTCTTCGTGGTGGCCAACACCTCTATCGTCTGAGCCACCAAGACACTGCTGGCAGGTCCGCCCAATCTTAGAGTGATGGTAACGGATCTGAGAACTGAATTCGGGAAAAAATGAACCCGCCTGGGATTAGAACCCACGACCTCTTCGTGATGGCCAACACCTCTACCGTCTGAGCCACCATTACACTGCGGGTAACGGATCTGAGAACTGAATTCGGGAAAAGATGAACCCGCCCAGGATTCGAACCCACGACCTCCGCGTGGTGGCCTACACCTCTACCGTCTGAGCCGCCAAGACAATGCTGGCGAGTTCGCTCAATCTTAAAGTGATGGTAACGGATCTGAGAACTGAATTCGGGAAAAGATGAACACGCCTAGGATTCGAACCCACGACCTCTTCGTGATGGCCAACGCCTCTACCGTCTGAGCCACCATTACACTGCGAGCGGGGCCGCCCAATCTTAAAATGATGGTAACGGATCTGAGAACTGAATTCGGGAAAAGATGACCCGCCCGGGATTCGATGACGGGACATTGACGCAAATGACAGCCATCGCCTCTACCGCCCGAGCCACCGAGACACTGACAACCGGCCCGCTTTATCTTAGAATGTTGGTACCGTATCTGAGAAGTAAATTGGGGAAAAGACTGACTCGCCTAGGATTCGAACCCAGGATAAATTTGTTGTAGCATGGACCTCAACCATCTTTTTTTTAGGCACGAAGTAGCCTTATAGTATCCCCCAGGATTCAGCCTCGCTGGGATTTGATCGCGTGGCCCCTTATGCAAGTCGAAACCTCTCTGTACGATTTTGATGAGATTTTGCAGACTGGTAGAATTCTGAGACGTGATTTCAATTCTGGAATATGGTTGAAATCTTAGCGATAAATTTTGAGAAAATTGCCGTCAAAATCACTGTTTCCATAGCAAAGCTCGACTCGTCAACGAAAAGGGAAAGAGAGGGGGGAGCCGAGCCAAACCCAACCAAAAGCATGGCTCCTTTTCGCTTGTGTACAGGTTACCCCCAAAAAAGATCGCTGCTTTGGAAAAGGACGTTCGAATAAAAAACTTTTCCCCGACCGTGATAGAACAGATGTAACAATAGCACAAGGGGTTTTTTTTGGGCGCAGTCTTTTCATTTGGGACTGCCTGTGAAAAATTTTTTAAAGGGAATGTCTTTGCTCATGCGCGGAACATTTGTTTGATGTTTCTTTTCATTCAGTTAGCACGACGACCACATCGCTCCACCTCGCGACTTTCAGTGCTCATGTTCCTCGAACAAGACTCACCTGCGATTCGAAACCATCCCTACTGAGTTTATAAAGTTTGTCAAACCACCGTCGTGGTGTTATTACGTTGTGAATGAGAACTATTACACATAATTGAAGAAAACATGACTAGAGAACCGCCTTTTGAAACAAGCCAAACAATTCAACGTCAGCAACAATGGCGGGGCAGTTTTAATGCGCGACTACTCGTGTTTTCGGCTTCGCTATTTTCGCAAGGGCGCAGTTGCCGAGAAGATTGTTGCCAACCCGCGAAAGTTAATTTACTGCCTCCTTTCCCCCACGAACATTTTAATAATGATTGACTTCAAAGATGTTCCAGTGTGGAATACATTAGCATTGGAATTTTTCGAATTTTACGGCATTTTGATTTGATTTCTTTTTGTTGCCAAGTTTAAATTTTGACGGGTGGCACATCGACCACATTGGTACCCTTGCCATTCGTACCTAAACCACCCCCTATCCCTTTTACACAACTTTTTTCCTTTCTCCACACTCCTACACAATAACTATATTGACTTCGTGACTCCTAGGATTTCTTGAAATCGTATTTTTTTTTTTTTTTTTGAAAACATCAACATGTTTATTTCGTTGTAACAATAATATAAAAATAAATAAAATAAATATGGAAAGCTCAGGTACTTCATTTCACAGTGATATTATCTTGATGTTTGAACATTATTGAGAACGGTTAAAAACTTGAAGTGCTCGGTAAAATGGCCGCCACATGATGCTCCAGGACAGCGGCGGCGGCGAGGGGCTTATTACCACCGAAGTGGTTTCGGCCCCCCGTGCCCTGCGCCGACCTGAAACAGAGAAAAACATCATCTGAGCCACCGAGACACACATCTGCGACGCGTCCGATCTTAGAGTCATGGTACCGGTTCTGAAAAGTAAGCTGGGGAAAAGATTGATGAACCTGGAACTACTCCGTAGCAGCTTGCGTCTCAAGCGCCCTGCCACCGAAAAACTTGTCACTGGGGCGCTGTATCTTACAGTGATGGTGCCGGATTCGAGAACTTAATTGGGGAAAGGGTTTACCCATCTGGGGTTCGAACCCAGGATATTCTTTTGACAATCTCTCATCTCATCCATCCCAGAATCCCAGCTACTTCTCGGATCGGGTACCATCACTCTGAGATTGGACATCTCCATCATGTGTGTCGCCGTTGCATGGTGGGCCAGGATGTGTTTATTTATGGGGCATTCCAGAGCCGATTGACAGTGGTCGAAGTTGACCTTTGACGATTTTGCTCATTTTTGGCTCAAATGTTACCTACCCATAGGTGAACATCCCCACAAAATTTCAGCCCTCTAGGTCAGTTAGTATGGGAACTGTGAGCAATCAAAGTTTTTGGCTATTTTGCTTTAGTCGTTTTTGACCAAATTGCACTTTTTTACTGACATTCTCCGGAATTCTTTTCTTTTCGGTCCTGAGGTCTGAAAATTAGTACTCAAATGTAAAATTGACTGGGGAATCCGAATCTGCACGCAGAATCGACCTTAAAGCAGTCCTTAGTTGATAAAAACGCACTCAAAGCCAAAAAGTGACCTTTTTTAGTGTTTTACAACCTTCAATTTTCTCCCCATCCCGGAATCCAAACTGGACCCGTTCTAGGCGGGAAATTATTCCTTAGACAACTACCTAAAATAACGGCTCGAGTTACCGAGGGATGGGTATGGTTTGGGCGCTGCAGTGCTGAGCAGTTTTTCGCGAGATGTGATAATTTCGTGTCCTCCCCTCTGGTTCTTCCAAACCCAAAGTCGATTTTAACCGGGTCTTTTCCTACCTTTTTTGTTTTTTGACCTTGCGGACAAGGTACAACTCTCATCAAGATGAAATTTTGCCTCCTTCCACCGTTAATTGCAAGTTTTTCCCCAGAATGTAATTTCCGTGGGCACTTTTTTATGTCCTACGCCCCCCAGATTTTGGGGGGTTTTCCCCCTCTACTACAGCCCAAGGGAGTATGAGAAATCACTTTCGCTAAGTGCATTTTGTTCTACGCAAGTGAGGCTACGTTTTTACGTGTAGAACGTATCTCTCGGGAAAATTTGCAGACACAAGATGATTCCGAAAATTGTCTTCCACAACTAAATTCAAAAAGTCTAAAATCGGTTTTTTTGGGGCGGTTTTTCTACCTTATTTCGACCGTTCTGAAAATTTTCTCATATTGTTGGGGCATTCGTTCCACACAATTTGCAAAGTGGCGGAGTAATGTGGCACCATTAGAACGGAAAATATAAAGTTAAATAAGTTCCAAAGCGGCAAAAAAATTGGCCTAGCAAGCAATAAGTGAAATTTCCGTTCCACCCATTGCTTGCAGACCATTAAAAAATTTTGATTACGAACCAATCCTTGTGTTTTTGCCTTGTGGACAAGTTGTTCCAGAAAAATTTTTGGTTCCGCTGGCACTTCTGGTTGGCTTGTACACCCCATTTTATGCAATAATGTAATTTCCGTGGACTGTAATTTCCGTGGACAAAATGGGTTTTCGTTGCGTTTCACGTGTTTTTGGCCTCGCAAGGGGCCTCAGCTCTAAAGTATGTCGATATTTTTCTGTTTTAAACCTCTCTTATGGAGGGAATGCCATCCTGGAGGGAAATGGGCGAGGGGGTAACCACTCGCGTAATACCCTGTACACAAAAACCGTGTATTACGCGTAATACACGTGGTCGTAATACCTTTTTCGGGTCAAATGTCCCAAAATTTTTTGCTTTTTAAGGCCGTAATACACGTGTAATACCTCCGCAATACAGCGTAATACCGAGTAGTCTGTACACGATTTCTTGAAGTGTTTACCCGCTCGGAAATGGGCATGGGGAATGGGAAGGCAAGCTGAGGTAAGTCGTGGCGTAGTTTAACACAACATCCATCAGGTTAAACCCGCCGCAAGTCACAAAATGGACCCAAACGAGCAGCGAGCCGACTTTTTGCAAGAGTCTAAGCTTTCGACTCCACTCATCAGATTGGTCAAACACTGTATTTTCTGGACACCAAGCGGTTTTATGCTGCTTTGTTCGGCGCGGCTGGCATACTGCCTTGACAGTTGTGACTGCGAGTCAGTGAAACCGTTCAACGTTGATTATTCAGATGGGAAAAGCTTCACCGAAAGCTTAATGTCTTCGAAAATAGGCTCGCTGTATTTTGGGATCTAGCTGACCATTTAAGACTTGCGGTGGACTTAACCTGACCGATATGTTAAGCAACATGACGTCTTTCCTAAGCTTTCCGTTCGAATGCTAAGACCCAGTTTATCGAATAAATTGCAGCAATCTGTTCCTCAAACTCAAAGAGAAAACTTTCCGAAAATATAGGTTAGTAAACGTGGGGGCCAGATATGCTTCCAGGAGGGCTAAACAGACCGCACCGCGAGCGGGACGCTGTCTCGACCCCGATCAACTTTTCCTCAACTGATCGCACCCATTATTTAATATTTTTCCCAACATAGACACGCAGGAACTGGTCAAGAGGGACTTTCCTCCGTTTCCACTCTAGGGCCCATCATTTGCCAAGTGTGAGAGGTACCGCCTGGGAGGTAAACACTATGCAAACCCTGGTCAGAAAAAATGAATTCACAGTTGTTCCCGAGACAAGGGAACTGAGCCGGGAGAGGTGGACACCGGACCCAGTCCTGCTCAAAGAGGCTGTTCTAGGGTGCCCCCCCTCCCCCCGGGGGGGGGGGGGGGGGGGGGGGGGGGAATGTACACCTCGTCACATACTGGTCACACTACGAGTGGGACCTTGTAGCCGCACGAGGTTCTTCTCCGCCAGTAAAAGTGGCACCCCGTAAGGACGGCCGTGTCCCGTTTGGCAGTGCACGCGGGCGTCGGGCCCGAAACGGCATACGATCAAATGTGGTCTAGCCCAAATTTAATTGTGAGGTACGCAACATGGAAACCCGAATGCACAGATGTGGAGGGGGCTGCCTAAACTGCTAGGCGTTTGCGTTTGTATCGCACCTATTCTAAGGGCCCATTAAAATGTAATTTCCGTGGACGTTTCTGAGGCTGTGTAATTTCCGTGGGCGGCAAAAAATTAAAATTGCGATATTTCCTATATTATTGGGTGATAGCTCGCCCCGATGAATCCATGATCCCTAGTGATTTCTTAACAAAATAAATGCAAAAAACCCCGGTTTTAATTGAACTTTTTTTCAAAAAGTTTCAGGGCCCAAAAATTTAAACCCTTTTGCGAGAACTGCTTGCTCGCAACTTTGACAACTGCTGAATGTTCAAACGAATGAATCTCATTGATCGGTGCGTCTGACAGCAATTTTCATAAAGACTTTTTTCTTCAAATTTGATTTCTGACAAGTTGTTTTTAGAACATTTTGCTCTATCTCTAACGGTTTGTGAAAAATGAGGCTAAGATTTTGGGACCGAAAAATATGTCTCTGGAGTACTATCTAGTTTTGATCAGGACCTCTTGAAACGCCTTTTTAACATAGTCCCTTGAGACATTTTTTCGGGGACCGGTGGTCGTGGACTTAGCACTTTTCGACTTTCAGTGAGACAATCCCTCACAAGAATGCACATGGAGTGGTGGGATACTCGGCCCGACGTGGGCGTGAAAAAAAGTCGAATTCGAGACATCGAACTGTGGTTTGAGAAGTCAGCAAACCATGTAAATCGGTGAAATCAAAAGTCGGATAGGTTTGGGAAGCAATGGGCATCGATATTGTAACCCGTGGAATGACTTTGCCTTTTTTTTGTTTCAGTTTGTGAAGAAATACCTCTTCTATTCGCCTCTGTTTATGGAAGATTCTCAACATCAGCCCACTGATTCTGCGGAGGGCGAGAACACTTTGGCACGTCTGCGACGCATCGAGCGCACCCCTCAATGGAGAGGGCCATTTTCTTTTATTCCTTCCTGTTCAAAACAAGACCGGAAAAGATATTCATCTCTGGGCCGAATGAATTTAAAAGCATGCAGTGGATTTTAAAGAGCGGCATTTAAAAACGAATCTAGCGGATAAGAACGGAACAGCGGTATTTGAAAATTTTGAACTATTTGAACTCGCCCAACGGACAAGCAGCTTGTAAGCTAATAAAAACATCATGAACTGAAAAAAAAAAAAATAAACCACAGAGGTTACAGGAAACATACAACTTTTATTAGGTGTTGAAAAGCGCCATTCAAAAGCACTCGGGTGTTAACGAACAACTTTTTACCAACCCAATCAAAGACGCATTATCATTATTGCACAAAAACCAAAACAAAGCGTCCGCAAATCAGAAACACAGTCAGAAAATTCAACGGAAAAGCAACTTTCATAAGACCAATGAATGACTCAATTACAACATAAGATAAACATCCCTTAACAATCAAATGCAATACAAAAGAAAAAAAAACAACAAAAAACAAAGTAAGCGAGTCCGTAGAAACCTAACACTGTTTAAAGTGTTTTGTCCAACCAAAGGTGGAGAGCGTTTGATGCATTAACAAATACGAGAAGAAAAATTGTGACAAGTGAACGGTTATGAATACGTCAGTCACGCGCCATCACGTGAATTCAAAAATACGATGGTACACAGAATTTACACCGACAGTAATATTGCTGAAAAGATTTTCCTTAGCGGAAACCCTTTTGCAACTAAAGAGGCGGGCCGCTGGCGAAAAAGTCTCCACATACATAAAAGCTTGGTACGTATTAAACAGGCTTCTTCTTAGCGTGGGTCCTGTTGTGCCTCGCAAGATGGGACTGATCAGAGAACTTTGTTCCGCACACTTTGCACTGAAAAGGCTTCTCTCCAGTGTGGATCCTTTCGTGCCTTATCAAATCGCCCGAGAGGGCAAACTTTATTTCACACACTTCGCACTGGAAAGGCTTCTCCCCAGTGTGGATCCTTTCATGCGCCTTTAGACTGCCTGATCGGTTAAACTTCTTTCCACACTCTTTGCACAGGAAAGGCTTCTCCCCAGAGTGGATTCTTTCATGCACCTTCAAGTAGCCTGATTGGGTGAACTTCTTTCTGCACACTTTGCACTGGAAGGGTTTCTCCCCAGTGTGGATCCTTTCATGCACCTTCAAATCGCCTGAGTGCGTAAACTTCTTCCCACACACTTTGCACTGGAAAGGCTTCTCTCCAGTGTGGGTCCTTAAGTGCCTTGCAAGTTCGGCCGCCCAGCGGAAGTCCTTGCCGCAGTGTTGGCAGGCGTGCCGCTTGCCGCGCGCTGCGAGGTGCTTCTCCAGGCCCGCCTCGGCTTCCAAGGCCGCTCCACGCTCCGCACACTGCGAGGCGACAGCGCGGTCCGCCCCTCCGTCCCCAGCCGTGCCGCTGGCCGCGGAGTCCTGCTTGGCGTGGCCGACTCCAGAGGCGAGCGAGAAGGTGGCGTCGATGTGCAGCCACGGCTCCTCAGCCTCCAACCCTGCAACCAAACGCCCACACCGTCAACAACGCCTCGCGGTGCCCAACTCGCCGCCGTTGGCGTGCAGTGCGAGCTGCAGGTGGCGGGGCAGTGGTCTCGCAGTGCAGCGGCCTCTCTGCCAGTACGCACCGTCCTTGCCGCCTTGCCCCGAGGTCGCGGCGCTGCGTCCACGCCGCGGTGCTCCTGCAGCAGGGCTGCCGCACTGCTCTGCCTCAGTCTCGACGCGCCGGGTACCTGCAAGCAGCACGCCGTCAGCGCAGTCCACTGCAAGAAACGCTGT